TCATCAGAAATCTTTGACTAGAGGTCAACAGAAATCTTTAACAAGAGGTCATCAGAAATCTTTAACAAGAGAAATATAGAGGTTAACACACTTCTTTGTCGATAATTTAACACACAAAAATAAAATCCTCGGTTAGGCTCTAACACAAATAGTTCAAGAGGGGTTAACACAAATCTTTGACAATTCTACACAGATGTTTGCGATACGTGATTTACACAATTCTGACGAGAGTTTAAACAAATCTTTGAACGGATCGAGATGTTACACAAATAACACGGGTTACACAAATCTGAAAGACATAAATACCATCTCCTAACGAGGTGATTACAAATCAGAAATTTACTCAAACCTTTCGACGTTGGGCTATCATAATCATGTTATCTGTATATAACCGTGAATTCAAAGGATCACTGCTCGGCAGGGAAATGGCTGTGTGTGATAACTGGCCGTGAAATCTTCATAGTCCACAGGGTTGCTCCAGTTTATCATATCGAACGCTACCTGTAGCTGTGAACCCGGGACATCCTTCTGATATTCAAGTCTCCCCGTATGAATTCTATAAGACACATATGTCCAAGATTCTCAGGTTTTTTTTACTTTTTAAATATCCGCGTCCCGGATTCCAAGTACTCTTTTCTTAAAGACACCTGTGTTTAAGATTCCCTTAACGAGTGACATAAGACATCTGTCTTTCAAACTTCCAGTGTGTGTATCTTTAGATATTCGTGATCTAAATTTCCAGTACGTTGTTTTGGACGCCTTTGCCCTACGTTACCAGTGAGTGTACCTTTAGACACCCATGTCCCAGATTCCCTGTACACTTGTCTTTAGATATTCGTGTCTCAGATTCCTTGTATGTTTCCCATGTACACGTGTACTTTTAGAGATCCGTGTCCAAGACCTCCAGTGTGTGTACTTTTATAGATCTGTGTCCAAGACCACAGGTGTGTGTACTTTTAGAGATCCGTGTCCCAGGCCTCCAGTGTGTGTACTTGTATAGATCCGTGTCCCAGACCTCCAGTGTGTGTACTTTTAGAGATCCGTGTCCCACACCTCCGGTATGTGTACTTTTATAGATCCGTGTCCCAGACCTCCAGTGTGTGTACTTTTATAGATCCGTGTCCCAGACCTCCAGTGTGTGTACTTTTATAGATCCGTGTCCAAGATCACAGGTGTGTGTACTTTAATAGATCCGTGTCCCAGACCTCCAGCGTGTGTACTTTTATAGATCCGTGTCCCAGACCTCCAGCGTGTGTACTTTTATAGATCCGTGTCCCAGACCTCCAGTGTGTGTACTTTTATAGATCCGTGTCCCAGACCTCCAGTGTGTGTACTTTTAGAGATCCGTGTCCCAGACCTCCAGTGTGTGTACTTTTATAGATCCGTGTCCAAGACCACAGGTGTGTGTACTTTTAGAGATCCGTGTCCCAGACCTCCAGTGGGTGTATTTTTATAGATCCGTGTCCCAGATCTCCAATGTGTGTACTTTTATAGATCCGTGTCCCAGACCTCCAGTGTGTGTACTTTTATAGATCCGTGTCCCAAACCTCCAGTGTGTGTACTTTTATAGATCCGTGTCCCAGACCTCCAGTGTGTACTTTTAGAGATCCGTGTCCCAGACCACAGGTGTGTGTACTTTTATAGATCCGTGTCCCAGACCTCCAGCGTGTGTACTTTTAAAAATCCGTGTCCCAGACCTCCAGTGTGTGTACTTTTAGAGATCCGTGTCCCACACCTCCGGTATGTGTACTTTTATAGATCCGTGTCCCAGACTACAGGTGTGTGTACTTTTTATAGATCCGTGTCTCAGACCACAAGTGTGTGTACTTTTATAGATCCGTGTCCCAGACCTCCAGCGTGTGTACTTTTATAGATCCGTGTCCCAGACCACAGGTGTGTGTACTTTTATAGATCCGTGTCCCAGACCACAGGTGTGTGTACTTTTATAGATCTGTGTCCCAGACCACAGGTGTGTGTACTTTTATAGATCCGTGTCCCAGACCACAGGTGTGTGTACTTTTATAGATCTGTGTCCCAGACCTCCAGTGTGTGTACTTTTATAGATCCGTGTCCCAGATCTCCAGTATGTGTATTTTATAGATCCGTGTCTCAGACCTCCAGTGTGTGTACTTTTATAGATCCGTGTCCGAGACCTCCAGTGTATGTACTTTTAGATATTTGTGTCCTGGATTTCAGATACTGGTTCAATATTGTGTTTTTTTTATTCTATTCCTGCCGTTTGCCGCCTAAGGGATAAGAAACCTTGTTAGGGACAGCACAGATACGGGTCTCGGTGAATACATCTCGTTAAAAAAACGACAAACACTACGGAGTAACAAGAGAAATTGATTGATTCATTAGCACTGGAATCCTTGGAAAGTAATTAGTGATTTCATACAATTCTCTCGTCGTCATAACAATAGAGGTCGTAAGACGCTGGCTGCATGTTCCGGTAGAACAACCTTCACACAGATAAACTAATCACACAGGATTTCTAACAAGTTCAGTAAAATGATATTGTCACGCTAATACTAATAAGATTTTTATACCTCTATAACACAAACAATATTTAATCCGGACACACTAAGTGTAACACACAGACCAGCCGAGTTACAGTTTGCACTAACGATTTTTTTCATTTTGAACAGAAATTGTTTGTGTCATAAAAACACAGTGTGATACTTCCGACTAACGGAATTATTACTTAAGTGTAATTTTAGTGTCCTGTGACTAATGGAGTGTTATTTTGTAGTCATGTGACTGGTGAAGTGTTAATTTGGAGTCTTGTGACTGGTGAAGTGTCATTTTGGAGTCTTGTGACTGGTGAAGTGTTATTTTGTGGTCTTGTGACGGGTGAAGTGTCATTATGTAGTCATGTGACTGGTGAAGCGTAATTTTGGAATCTTGTGACTGGTGAAGTATTATTTTGGAATCTTGTGACTGGTGAAGTGTAATTTTAGTGTCCTGTGACTAATGGAGTGTTATTTTGTAGTCATGTGACTGGTGAAGTGTTAATTTGGAGTCTTGTGACTGGTGAAGTATTATTTTGGAATCTTGTGACTGGTGAAGTGTAATTTTGGTGTCATGTGACTGGTGAAGTGTAATTTTGGTGTCATGTGACTGGTGAAGTGTTATTTTGGAATCTTGTGACTGGTGAAGTATTATTTTGGAATCTTGTGACTGGTGAAGTGTAATTTTGGAGTCTTGTGACTGGTGAAGTGTAATTTTGGTGTCATGTGACTGGTGAAGTGTTATTTTGGAATCTTTTGACTGGTGAAGTGTAATTTTGGAGTCTTGTGACTGGTGAAGTGTTATTTTGGAATCTTGTGACTGGTGAAGTTATATTTTGTGGTCTTGTGACTGGTGAAGTGTTATTTTGTAGTTTCGTGACTGCTGAAGTGTTATTTTGTAGTCTTGTGACTGGTGAAGTGTTATTTTGGAGTCTTGTGACTGGTGAAGTATTATTTTGGAGTCTTGTGACTGATGAAGTGTTATTTTGGAATCTTGTGACTGGTGAAGTATTATTTTGGAGTCTTGTGACTGATGAAGTGTTATTTTGGAGTCGTGTGACTGGTGGAGTGTTTTTATGTAGTCATGTGACTGGTGAAGTTATATTTTGTGGTCTTATGACTGGTGAAGTGTTATTTTGTAGTCTCGTGACTGCTGAAGTGTTATTTTGTAGTCTTGTGACTGGTGAAGTGTTATTTTGGAGTCTTGTGACTGGTGAAGTGTTATTTTGGAGTCTTGTGACTGGTGAAGTGTTATTTTGTAGTCATGTGACTGGTGAAGTGTTATTTTGGAGTCTTGTGACTGGTGAAGTGTTATTTTGGAGTCTTGTGACTGGTGAAGTGTTATTTTGTAGTCATGTGACTAGTGAAGTGTAATTTTGTAGTCATGTGACTAGTGAAGTGTTATTTTGGAGTCTTGTGACTGGTGAAGTGTTATTTTGTAGTCTCGTGACTGGTGAAGTATTATTTTGTAGTCTTGTGACAGATGAAGTGTTATTTTAGAGTCTTGTGACTGATGAAGTGTTATGTTGGAGTCTTATGACTGATGGAGTGTTTTTTTGTAGTCATGTGACTGGTGGAGTGTTATTTTGGAGTCTTGTGACTGGTGAAGTGTTATTTTGGAGTCTTGTGACTGGTGTAGTGTTATTTTGTAGTCATGTGACTAGTGAAGTGTAATTTTGTAGTCATGTGACTAGTGAAGTGTTAATTTAGAGTCTTGTGACTGGTGAAGTGTTATTTTACTGATGCAATAAACCCTGTAATTGTTTAACATTTAATTTGACGTTTTTCAGAGTATCGCGATATAACAGGGTCTGATTCGGATCATCTAATATATTTCACTGATCATCCCTCGGCAGTGTCGCGAGAATGTTACTTCATTTGTATCTATAAAGAACACGGTAAATCACGTTCTTCAATACTGTCGTATACGCAATACATTGACAATTGTGATTCATATGCATTGAAGAAAACCACTTCATGTTTGTTATAAACCATGGACGAACAAGGTGGGTGATAGACATGTAAACCGTGTCCTATCTATCTTCACGGTGACTAGAGAATCGTAAATATCATCCGGCATTGGCAATTCTAAGTTATGTGATTTATGAGGAAAAACAGATAGGATTTCACATCGTTATTACTGAATCGTGTAGAGGAAGTGTCTAGAGGAGAGCTAGGATGGACGGCCGTGGAAAGTGGTCGTACAACAGATATAAAACCATACAGCTATATAACTATGATCATATGACAGTTGCTGAAGGCGTTGACAAACGGTCTTGTACGGATGAAAACTCACTCGTAAAAAAGGGTTGTTTGTTTGTGAGAGTCCCATGGTGTGGAGGACGGTAACGTCTGCTATCGTGTGGCGTTTTGTTTACTTTGAGCTCGGTAGGTGTGTGTGTTTGTACATAAGTTCTATCTAAAAGTCACTACCTCAGTCGTCACAGATATATCGGCAAGTTTTGTCCAGCAATGTGACCCTAATTATTGGAATATTTACTCGACAGAGGCACAGATGTTTAAAACACGCCGAGAATAAGGTAGGTTATGTATTGTCACAACTTAGGGTGGTTAGTGGTCAGCTTTAAATCTTTCAATCGATACATCTTCCGCACGTTATATTACAAGGACTACGTTTAAACCTCAACAACAATATCGTGTTAAAGAGTGCCAGCTATTCGATATCTTTATATTTGGTGAAAAAAAACACAATGTCGGGAAAAAATTGTTTACAAACACTATACACAATGTTGTAAGTTGTTTTTTTACCTACTTATGCGCAGCCTCGGTTCCTTGTTACAAAGTTGTTGATATTTTAAATTAGTGTCACGAAAGTGGCTAGAATCTACTTTATATTTAAATGATAATGAAGTTTGAAATAAAGGTTGCCAGAAAAATAAATATATATAACTGAAGTTAAACCTTTGAAAATCACATTTATAAACATTGGTTTATATGAATTATATATATATTGTACATAACTTTTAATATTTGAAGACCTAAGTTGAAACGCAATGATTTATCAATTTTCGAACGTTAAGCATCACAGCTCAGTGGACTTAAGTTACGTACATGGTAAATGTGTTGTAATACTAGCGATGTGTGACCCCTCGTTCTCCCGACATCAGAGAGATCAGTACACGTGTGTCCACAAGGTTCCAGGTCTTTGAAGAATGTTGCTACAGTCTTGCACCATTCCCTAACCGACTTTGCGATGATTATTATCCTGGCGAAACATACCAGCTGATATTATTTTTAGGGGAGAAGTACTAGTGTGTTTTTCAGTTCAATGAGTCCAAACCGAAAATGTAACGTCCCTCTATAAATTTAGCATTTTTGCAATGATTTCACGTGTCTGGCCGGGGAAGAATTTTGTGTGAAGGACAGGAAGGGAATGAGAGAGCCCGATATTGAAAACTCCAGAAGATTTCAGCAGCTTAATTTTGCTTGTGGGTATGGGGAGGTGTTTGGTTACACCTACATTTTAGATATTATAGATACAGAAAGTTTAAGACAATGTGCTGATGTTTTCACACATAGACTAGACATCAAAGTTAGATGTTGGTCAAAATAAGGCACTTAATTATATAAAAGTCAAAATAAGTTACTTAATTACAAAGTCAAAATAAGGAACTTAATTACTTAAAGTCAAAATATGGAACTTAATTACAAAGTCAAAATATGGAACTTAATTACTTAAAGTCAAAATATGGAACTTAATTACAAAGTCAAAATATGGAACTTAATTACTTAGAGCCAAAATATGGAACTTAATTACTTAAAGTCAAAATATGGAACTTAATTACAAAGTCAAAATATGGAACTTAATTACTTAAAGTCAAAATATGGAACTTAATTACAAAATCAAAATATGGAACTTAATTACAAAGTCAAAATATGGAACTTAATTACTTAAAGTCAAAATATGGAACTTAATTACAAAGTCAAAATATGGAACTTAATTACTTAGAGCCAAAATATGGAACTTAATTACTTAAAGTCAAAATATGCAACTTAATTACAAAGTCAAAATATGGAACTTAATTACTTAAAGTCAAAATATGGAACTTAATTACTTAAAGTAAAAATAAGGTAGCTAATTACTTAAAAGTCAAAATAAGGTACTTAATTACTTAAAAGTCAAATAGAAAAGATACAGAATTCATCATTACATTTGCTCGATAACAAATTAAATAACATACTCCACAGATATTAAATTTCTAGAACTAAACATTAAAATTAGACATGTTAAATAACACGGCATGGTTTTATTTCGCTCCAAATTATTTTCACTGATAGGATCATCTTATGGGCTACTTGGCAGCTCCAAATTTTAGATTTAAATTGACACTTAACTAACTTGTTTGTCAAAAGTTTGAAGTAAATTCGTTGGTGTTTCTGATAAAGTAGTTAATGTACGCTGAATGTATTAAACAGATAAAAGGTTGACATGTTTCACAAAAACAAATTGATGTTGAAGTTCTGAACTTCTAACATTGAGCGTAAAATAAGGATGACTTAATTGGTGTGAAATTAGAGGTTTGTAGGTTTTACTGACTACAATCATTTGTATGCATCCTTGAATCTAATGAACAACTATAGTGAAGTAGTGAGATTGTCTACAATGCAAAAACATTTAGTTTACATGTGACCTTGACATCAGCCCTGCAGATTTATCCTGTTGAAAATTCTGGTGAAAATTCCTTTGAGAGAAATAATCTTATTGATGACTTAAGTTGTCAAAGTTCAAAATCCTAGTTCATGCTCGTCTGTCTCTCCAGGTGATCTTTGACCTCAAAATCCTAAAATCCTTATTCATGCTTGTCTGGCCTGCAGGTGATCTCTGGCTGTAGGGGTCTGCGTAAGTCTTAAAAAGGGTGTGTTAAAATGTTCAAAAAGTGTTTGATTTCAGTTATAAATTCCTGTTTGAAAGTTGAAGTTGCCTGTAAAGTTGACCAGGCCGAGAACAATGTGCCCACTTATGACTGTGATTATTACACACTGTGTAGTGTGTCCTATTAAGGTGAGGACAGAGTTTGACAAGTAATGCGATAGGCTTGATAAACATTTAATTTGGGTCAGTGTAAACAAGAAAGGACATATTTGACACAAAGTCAACACTAATCTAGTCAAACAACTTATGTAATTGGCAGTGACTGTGTGACGTTTTATGTGTCACTCAGTTTTATGTTTTGGGAATTTGGACGGGGTTCTACAGTTTCATGTGAAATTGGAAGATGTTCATACCCAGACATTCATTCAAATATATTTTCAATTTTTTTACTGAAAGAATGTGTTATATATAGTAACTGTTATCTTGGTAATAGTGACCTCCATGTGTTTCGAGTACAAAGCTTCATCATTTCAAATATTAATTGCATGATTCTCAGTTTTTGAAACTTTGAAACAGCTTCAGAGAACCTAGGTGGGATGTAGGACTAACAATTTCAGGAGTCATCTTTGTTTAACAACTAGAGGATTATATGAAAGCTGTTAAAATCACAAATTTAAAAAACTTTAAACTTTCACCAGACATCATTTACATGATTTTGGAACAAAGTATCTATTAATAATTATTGGAATCAAATTGTAGATATATACATAAATGACTGTTCAAACAGCCAAGATAGTTAAAGCTTGGTGGTAACAGTAGTATTATTTGATGAAGTTGAATTTTACATTTTTATTTTTTCTAAGATTTCAAGTTGCTCGAGGTCAAATGTCAACATAGTGGTTTGTTACAAGCCCTATTTACCTCTTACTTTTTGAAAAATTGAAGAAAAATATTTTAATCTCATTCTACTGTATTGACTTAATGGACCAAAGGAAAATTCGAAAAAGGAACATGATTTCGCAAACACAGGTAGAAGTGAGAATTAATTTTGTGATTTAGGTCAGCTGGTTATTAGAGGCCTGATAAATTACATAGCAGCAAAGTTAATGGCAGTGAGTGCCAATACATTGAGTGTGATAGTGCATGTTTTACAAGTTATTTTGTCATAGGCGATTGTGTAATATGTGGTTTGGATGTTATAATTAAATGTCACAATATCACACCTGTGGACATTGTCCTTCATTGATTTCAAAACTAGTCTAGATCAGGGGCTATTAAACCAATTAATATTGATAACTTGAATATGTTGTCCAGGTGATAAAATGTTAAAATGTCATTGTTTTTTAGTATAAATCTTAAAAAAAGAGTCTGGGCATTGCCTTTGTTTTTACTCTGTAAATCTCAGAAATTTTAACCGGACTATTTGGAAAAACTGTCACAGATATATTTGAAGATATTTAGAGTGAGAAATATCAAAATTTTGGGCCTTTATTTGTTTATCAAGTCAGAATATGTTTTCATTCTGATCAAATTGATAAACAAGTTATATTCACTTTTGTGTTCAAATTGTAAACAAGTAAAGAAATATCCTTGACAATGATCTCTGAACTCTTTATCTTGACAAATGTTGTTTCATTGTCCTGTAATAAGCCAATCTTACATCACAGGTAACATGCTTGTGTATGGGGTCATATAATAAGCCCACCCCTGATTTTGAGTCAAAGGTCATATGTTGGACCCCTGAGGTTAGGCAATAAGCCCACCCTGACTGTGAGCTAGAAGTCATGTTTTTCCATGGGGCATTTTACAGGATGTAATTCATATGTCGCTACCAAAATTGCCAGATTCATGCAGTATATGCCTGATGCTGAAGAAATGCCCTTGATTGTGACATACAAAATTATCTCTACAGCAATAATATATACTTGTAATTAGATATTTATCAAGGAAGAAGAATTAAAGAAAAGGAATTAAAACAAACACTTTTATCTTTAGAGACTTCATATTTGATACCCCACAAGATGATTTGTAGAAAAAAGTTGCAATTTAAAGGATCATTCTGTTATATAGGAAAAGAATCCAACAATGTCAGGTAAATGTCTAACTATTTTTTCCACTAATTTATCTCTGAAATGGATCATTCTTCATGTTAAGGTTCTTGACCCTAATTACTCAGCTGTGAAAAAACCACCAGGTAATAAAAACAGTCACAACATTTGTGACAGTAGGTGGCTCAAAAACCTTGTATTAGGGTTGTCGATGACTGTGATGTTTTGACAAGAAATTCATTGGAGACTTTTGACGAACTCTAAAGCTACCTGTTACCATTGTGCTTGTATAAGTCAGTAACGGAGCTGAAGGTTGTTAGTAATTGTAGGTAGATAAAGGGGGATTAAACCTCTGTTGTGCTTCAATAAACCGCACAGGATGGTTCAGAGTATTGCCTTTGATGTATTTCAGTATTGACGAATGTCGATACAGGTAAAAATTCCACAGGTATGTGCAGGTATCAACACTACTACGATCATTTCTTAAATACAACGATTTAACAAGGGTTGCAAAGGTTGAAGAGGTCTTCCTCATTTACAATGGTATGGTTCTGCTTGAGTGATTTCTGCCAGATTGAAGACAGGTACGACTTGACAGATAACATGTACAGGTGATTAAGAGGTCAATCTCATTGTTTTTATTTACACACATGTCTAC